CGTTCATTAACATCCGTTAGTCTGTCAGCAGGCATTTCCAGCAGAGCAGTATGCCCCTGCAGCGCCTGCTTAATTACATGTTGTTAATTACCACTGCGTGAACAGACTGGTCTGTTTTAATTATAGCAAGGATTGTATATTAATAATGCCTCCACCTATATTCTAAAAATGTAATTTTCACATATTGATGAGGAGGAAGCCTCAGATGCTAGGCACATAGGAAAAAAATGGAAATAACTGCAGCTTCTCCACATCATCAGTTTTGGCAGGCTGCTAATTTTTTAGGAACTTTTTATCTGAGGGATCCTCAGATATAAAGCGTTTAATGTTATTCTTCAGATCGTGCAGGAAATTGTGAATATACGGTATAAATGTGTATAGATTATAAAGTGAGGTTTAGAATACACATGCCTCATTGTGTTTTTTTCTTTTTTGACCACATTTGCAAACTTATTTCACAGCAGTTCTGTAGAGTTCATTGTGCTGAGTGACAGTTTTCAAGGAAGTCTGTGTGCAAAACCAATTTGAGCTAAAAGGAAAGCTCTGGTGGGGCAAATCCTACAAGGATCCCTTGAGTCCTATTAATAAAGCCTTCCTCTCCTACCCTGAGGACACTACCTGGTGCAGAGAGTCACTCTCCATCAGAATTGCTCAAGTGCTGCAGAATAGAACTGCATTTCAATAGACATGAATTTGAAATACAAGCAGTTCTTCACTTCCTCAAGCTGGATATGTTTTAATTCACTTGGCCCAGCCTTTGCATGGAGAAAAACATCCTGGTATCTGTATTTAAGACTGACAAATAGCTTGTATTCCTAGATGTAGCTGTATTTGCAAGTGATCAAGGGAGGTCACTGATCATTTACTATTTTATGTAAGTTTATATTTAATGGAGTGAAAACACTAATTATGAGCAAGGGCATCACAGTGTCACAGAGATGACAACAAATAAATTGCAATTTTGAAATAATGCACCAATACAAATAGCTTAATAATAATTGTCTATATTAACATCTATATTACTAGGTAATAGAAATGCAGCAGTAAAGAATAACTGTAGAAAAGGGTATTGTTATTCCAAGTCTATGAATCATATATTCACAATTAGGAATAAGGAAAAACTCCTTTTTGCTTGAACAGCACAAAGAAATAAGCTCAGTTTAATTGCATCAGTTCTAATGAAAATTAAAAATGCTCGTTAACTACCCTATGCCTCAATCAAAGAGGCATCTGGGAAAGAAGATATCATGGATACAATTTTTGATAGAAAATTCTCTCTGTAATTCAAATATGCTTGTATGTAATTTTTAATTACTGCTTCTATTTGCTAACATTGCCAAACGTTTTCCATGCCTTTCTATTTCAACATAAATTTGATCTAGCCAAATTAGCTGTCCAGATTTGCTGTATGTTCCACAGGGATTGAGCTGCCTTTAGTCTATTAGTCTGCGCTGTTCCATGGCAGAATTGTGCACTAAACTTTAGGTAGGGAAAAACTGTCAGAATAGGCAAGTTTGAAAGTGGTGAGTGGTTAAGAGATTAAATATTTTCAGTACAGTGTGATGATTTTGATGAGTAAACTGTATTTTGTAAACACCTTCTACAAAAAATAATTTCTATATTCGCTTTCCAGATAAAGAATATCTGTCAGATTGACCTCTGCTTGTGAACATCTCGGAGAAAGACTGTGACAGTCCTAGGGTAGAGAAGCATCGTTCCTTACTGTAAAGCTTGTGCTCAGCCCATGAGTTCTTGCCTGCTTCTTCGTAACCTTTCTTCTATTTGTGGAAGTTACTCAGCCACACTAGAGCTTCTTTGAAGAGACCCCAATTACGCTATTGATCTTATGAACAAAAGTAGAAAATATCCCGAGAAGTAATGGAAAGAAAATAGTCTGCATTTCATCTGCATTGGAGAATTTTCCAGGTCCTTTTGAAAGGGCGGAGAAAATGGGAGAAGTTGAGGCAAGGGAGTGACCAGAAACAATAAAGTTAGAAAGTTGTTAAAACCTGAGGTCAGATCCGTCATGTTGGGTCGCTGGAGGAAGTGAATTCACTGCTGATGGCATGGAGATTGCAGACTGCAGAGGTTAATATTTATTTTCAGATTATAGCAAATGATATATAAATTCCAGGCCTAATGAGCCTAGACCTCCTAGATCTACTTAAAGAGTATATTTTAAGGGTTGGGTGTTTTGGTGATACGGCCTAATCAGCCACCCACAGACCAATTTATAGTGTGCTTACACAGGATGCTGAGGCCATGCAGGCCCTGGATGGAGGGGCTCATTCCTTGGGCGCGGAGCCGCGCGAGCACCGTGCCAAGCATCTGAGCTGAAGTCTCCAGTCAGCGCTGTGCGTTCTGGGGGAGTTGGTCTGGCTTTCCAGCACTGGATAATCGAGGGATTATCTCTTACACTATCCCCATTCTCTGATTCCTATCCTACCTAAGGCCCCGCTAAACATTTCTGGTCCCTAAATTATCTTTTGCTTCATTAGCCTTTGCTAATGCTAACCACAAATCTTTCATATTTGTGTTGCAAATGCTACTTCCTGCCAGTCAGAAGTGCGCAACGCAGACTCCGTGGCTGAGCTTGCCCAGAAAGCCTCAGAGGCTGCTGAACATACAGGTAGCAGATTGTTGTAGCACACAGATCAGACCCTTAGTATTTCAGGTGCATGAATATCCTTTCCCACATTTCTCTGCTTTATATACATTGCAGAACAGTCCCCTTTTTTTTTTTCTGTGTTTTTTTTTTAAATACAGGAAATTCAGTCTCCTTATCTTCAAATTAGTGCAAACCAATGCCTTGCCTAGAGCTTTGTGTCTTTTTCTCTCATTCCACTTATATTTATTGG